TTTGGGAGAGGAAGACTCATAAAAAGATAAAAGTAATAGGAGTATAGTAATTGCAATGATGAGATAATTACCAGGTATGATGGGAGGGCACCTCACCAGGGGGCTGGCTGGAGTTTTTTACTCTTTTTATAAAGTATGAATAGAAGTGACTCTGGTGGAATGGGCGAGACAGACATTTCCAGCATCAGGTACAGATGGATGAAGAGGGATAGGGATTGGGGAAATACAAGAAGGATGTGGTTTTGGAATTGAATGTGGCTGAATAGGAAGCAGAGCCAAGCCAGGTTGTGGGTGGAGCTCGGATGCTGTCCTGTAAGCAGCTTACTGGCTGGTTTTAAATTAATGTTTGTTGGGAGATCACCATGAGCAATGTGAAGAAGGCACTGGAGAAAAACAGTAGGCGTTCAGAGATCAGAGAACAGTGTCAGATGACTTGAATAGTGTTTGAGCAAGCAAGGAATTAGGCACGATTTGCCAAGTAAAATGTGAGGGATGTCATGATTGTTTGGATCTGAGGGTTGTAGGGGAGGCAAGGGTCAAGACTAGCACAGGAAATAATTCATGGTTCTGCTGCCCACGGAGGTGCGGACCTTACAGATGGCCAGTTGGTGGAGGGCAGAGACACATGATGCCCAAGGCGACAGAGAATTAATATTAACCCATCTGAATGAATATTAACTGAGTGAAATGCACAAGTTGAAATTGCCTTGAATAATCTAATCAGTTCTGTTTGATGATGGCTATGTTTTATTACTTCTAAATAATGAAAAGGAATAAGAAAATATAAGATTGATTTCTTGGTCAAGAAATGTGACAAAGTTGAAAGATAAAATGTGTGTCCTGGTCACATCTAGACACTGGTAAATTACTTCTTTGAGGGTGTACAATTTAAAACCCTCTGTTGTAATTCGGATTTCTGATATTAAAAAAATGTAGTCACTGACCTCAAGAACTTGACACATGCAAAAAGTGTGTCTAAAATTATGTTTGAAGATATAAATCAGAGCTATCTATGGAAATATAATTGCTGAAAAAGAGAAGCATTCAGGAAATTCTTACCCATCAGATGACCCTAAACATTAGATTATATGTTACTGGGCTAGAATTTGCACACACCTTTCTGTCTTTCAAGTGTGCTTTGGTCTTTTATTTAAAAACCAACAGTGAAAAGTTGGTTAATTGCACTTAAACGCTTTTAACTGTTGGGTTCTCGGAAAAGACATGATGCATGTTTGCAACGAAAAACAAAAAAAATACGTCATGAATTTTCTGACAACCTAATATAATGTACAAATAATGTATTGAGAGACTGCTGATGCAGCATAAGTAATAGCTTAATAGCGTTTCCATCTGTGGAGTAGCCACAAAACCATTTTTTAAGATGGTTTCCTTACTCTCAATGATGTCAACCTTAAATATTTGAATGTGCCTCAAACATTCCTAATATTTTACTCTTGAAATGAGCAACTTTTCTTCTTTGACTTCCACAATACTGCTCCTGGCATGATGACGGTGATAATGACTTTCTTTACTTTTCCTTTGATTCTAATATTACTTATTTCAATTGTTAATCTCTTCATTACTTACCAAGTTCTCAGAATAAGAGTAACACCACATCGTGCACTCCATTTAAAAAGTTTTGATCTTTTATGAAATATCTGTGAGGTAAAAATGTGAGGTGGGATCCTTCCCATTTCACTGATGTGGAAATTGGGCCATTGAGAAGTTGCTTCAAATCGAACTTTAATCCCTTCCTATTCTTATCCCACTGAGAAGTGCTCACTCACTGGGATGGTTCCATGTTCAAGTTCAAGCAGCTGAGCACAGCCCAGATGTTAAACTCCTCTGAGGATGACAGCTCATGAATCAAAACTGTACTTCTCTTACACCTGGAGTTTTGCCCTCCGACCAGACACGTGTTTCTATATCCATGTGGCATAGTGTAAACATGTGTCTGGTCTTTTTCCTGGTTTCTGACATAGAGCTCCTGAAAGCCTTTTTACTTTCTTAAGTAACAGTGTATTTTGCATGCCAATGAGATGGCTCCATTACAGGTGGGGGGAGGGGACCCTAGATAGTTTCAAGGTGGTGGGGGCAGGGGCTGATTGCCAGAGCTCCTAAGCGTGTAATTAAAGGGCTAGAACTGTGAGTCCACCCTGTGACTTCCAGGGATGGGAGAGGGGGTCCAGATTGAGTTTAATCAATCATACCTTACAATGAAGTTGTAATAAGAATGGTGAAGCAACCAGGCTAAGGGGGCTTCTGTTTTGATGAGCGAATTGATGTGCTGGGAGGGTGGTGCCCCTGGAGAGGGCATGAAAGCCCTGTTACCTGTCCCCTCCCCCCATTCCTTGCCCTATGCATGCCTTTCATTTGGCTTGGGTTGTATGCCCTATACTAAAACTGTAATAGTGGGTGTTACTTGCCCAAGTTCTACTGAGTCATCCTAGCAAATTTTGGAAAATAAGAGGAGATGGCATGGGAACCTCTGGATTTTTATAGCCAGTTCGTCAGAAGCGTGGGTGATCCTTGGGATTTGTGACAGTCATGTGAAGTGAGGGCAGTTTCATGGGACTGAATCCTTAAACCTGTTGGGTCTGTGATAACTCCAGATAGTGTCTGAATGGAATGGAAGACGCTCAGTTGGTGCTGGGCAATTGGTAGGCTTTGAAATGATGTCAGAAAAGAACAATCCAACTGTGTGACCTCCCAATGTTTGCCTTGTACTTTTTGTACATAGGAGCCTGTCAGACTTTTATTTGTTTTTTCTCTAGCTCTTTCCCGAACTTGATGTGTGCATAATAAAATTGTATCAGCAGACTAAATCATAGTATTTTAAGTAGGTGGTTTTGTTCAATTGTGTGTTACCACATTAACTTAAATTTCATTTTAAAAAAAATAGTATATCTATCTGTCATTTATCCGTTCATCCATCCATCTATCCAGAATGCTTGGGTATATTGTCTGTTTAGCCATATTTGGATTACTTGGTATTGTACTAGGCAGGAATATATGACAAAACAGTCATCTGAAAACTATAACTGTGTACATAAATGTTGTTACAGACAGGTAGATAGGGGTTGTAAAAAAAATATATATATATATATATATATATATATATATATATGTAATTAATAATTTCTGTATAGCTAAATGGTTAAAAATAAAGTCCGGTTAACTACCAGAGTTCAAATTCTGGCTTCACTACTTTTTAGTTGTTTGACTTTTACTTCAACCACTCAACTCTAGTTTTGTCATCTGTAAAACTGGGATAATAACAATATCTATTTCATAATGTTCTTGTGAGGATTTAAAAAATTAATGCAGAACTCCTAAGACAGTATATATACACCCAGTAAATTTTAGCTGCTATTACTATTATCACTTATTACGACCATTACAACTATTTTGACTACTATTATTATGCTACTAATACACTTCTTTTTTGAACCTAATTCATAGCATAACATGGTTGTATGGCTTACAACCTCTTCTAAGCACATATTCACTGACAGCAGGAAAAATGGGAAACAAGAGTTTAATCGATTGAGTTAATTAATGCCCTAAACGTTGTAGTGATAGAAACATTTTGTGCACTCTATTCTCGGAGTTATTGTCTCAATTTTAAGGATCACAGAAAGGGGGACATGAATAGCAAAAAACTATCTGGAAAATATGCACCATTGTAACTTGGACTGGCTTCATGACAGCGGGGGCCAAAGGTTCAAGTATCATCACTCTTTAGGCATAAGCAACAATTAGATGTGACTCTGAAGAGTTCAGTCTTTGGACTCATTAAACATGGTATCTGACAGTTAGCTTGCTTATTTTTTTTTTACAACAAAATAAGGTTTTCTAAACAGCTATACATATGTTAGAATAGCAAATGTTATTTTGTGTACAGCTTTTTTAAAACACAAAAATAAAACTCCATGTTCTTATACAACAACATTTCTCATGCCTCCCTTCTATTCCATTCTTTGGAACCAAGGTTGTAAACCTTTTTTTTTTTTTTTTTTTTTTAAACACAATCCCATTTAGTTGGACAGTTAGGTTGCTTTCAAGGATATTCTCATCCTTACAGGTGAAACCTGACTTATACCTCTTCCTCAGGATTAATTTGAAGCCTGAAAATGGTAGAGTACCTAGAATTATTATATGCATTTAAAATTTTTTTGTATAGTTCACATTAGTGGGAATCAAAAGAAATTTTAACTGAAATTTATTTGTACCTAAAACAAATGTCCAAAATTTTGGTTTGGGCCACAATGTCTTCTTTTTGTGTTGTTAATTCTTTTCTTGATATCATCTAACATTGACTATGCAAAAATGTTAGGAAGTGACAGTTAATGTTTGTCTTGCTGGGTGGCCAGTACATACTGATAGTGCCTTAGTGCCTTTCTTCAGCATTTGTTCTTTCATGTGCACTGAGAGCGACTGTAAGTCAAAGAAGGAAACTCGTTATGAAATAACCAACATGGATTGTGCTCAGGGTACCAGCCAGTAAAGAAAGTTTGACATTTGTTCCACGTGTTACTCAAATAGGCTCTGATACGTTTTGTACCTGTTGTAGATCAGCTTGGGCAGTAGAGAGCACTTTCTCCCATCTTCTTCATGTACACACTGCTCCCTCTCAAAGAGATCATGATTTTAGAAAATGTTAAAATTATGTTGAGCTGGGTTTAGTTTTTAAAACAGTCTTTCTTTGCCTCTGTGTCTGAATAGACTAATTATCTTTACAGAGCTCAAGAACTCTGGTTTTAAACAAAACATTTCTTAAATGTGTTTGTTCATGCGAGCATTTTCTAAATTGCATCTAATGTCTTAAAGACTGGTACTAATTTCCTTTATTCCTGTATTTGAAAATTGAAAAGTTTATTATAGTGAATGTTCTTACTGTATTGTTGTAAGGTTTTCACAAGTGTTTTGTTTCTAGAGTGTTTTACCTTTTCTATATTATAATTTTGTCCTTTCAAGGCATTTAATATCCTCTCTTTCAGTCTCTGTAGAAACGCTGGAAAAGAACTTGAGGCAGATGGGAAGGCAGCTTCAACAGCTTGAGAAAAATTTGGAAACCTTTCCCCCTCCTGAGGACTTGCATGATAAGTTCGTGACAAAGATGTCCATATCCTTTTGATATCTAAGTAACTTAAGTTACGAGTCAACTAGAATTACAAATTATTTAACGTGTTAAGTACACTTGCATAACCAGAGATCGTTCTGTAGTACCAAATTGTAGGTTTAACCTCTGCCATCTCGCACGGATATTTATCAATGTGCTTATCTATCATGAATAATACAGAAATGTGTTCTATTGTGTTTAATTATTTTTCCTTTATATCACCTTGGATAATATCTTTCTGTTATCTTTTCCCTTCCAAAGGCCCTGTTTCCTTCTGATGTTTGTGGTATATTGAAAAGATATGAAAACTCAACTTGAGGAAGTTTGAGTGTAACGTCATGAAATATTTTGAAATGTTTCAGGAAGCAGATAAAGACTTTATAAATTGGTGTGAAGAGTAAACTTAATTTCATGGGTTGGTATATATTAAAAATTAACTCATGCTACAGAAACTTTATTTTGTTTAGAAATACTACATAGGTCCACAATCAAAATTGAGTATGTAACAATCACTGCTTGTGTAGGTATTCTCTAAACCCAAAATAGAATTGACAAGTGTGTGTGTGTGTGTGTGTGTGTGTGTGTGTGTGTCTGTGTGTGTGATATTATAGATATACTGAGGGTGCCAAAAAATTATATTTTAAGATAAGACCATACATATATATATATATATAAATTTAATAGCATGAGGCTTGTGTCCTGCTTAATTTAAGGTTTCTTTTGAGTTTCAATTATCTTTGGTTTCTCTAACTTTGTGGCTTAATCTCTAATGAGCAATTGAAGTAATAAACTTTATTTCCTGAAACTAATGTTGAGTTGCTTTGCAAACCATTCTGTGAATTTAGATACTGGTATCTTTTGTGTTATAATAAAGTATTACTACTCTGCATTATTAAAATCCCATGTGGACTTCAGAATTCTACATGAAAGGATAACCCACTTTTAAAATGAGCTCTTATAAATAGACACTCCTAATATTTTAAACTGAGTTACTTGAAATAAAAGAACTACTTTTCCTGTTTCTATCGCTTCTCCCCTGAGATTTGCCAAATCACAAAATTATTATTTGGCTTGTCATAGATTTTCTTGTATAAGCTTTCAGCTTAATTGTGAATTAGTTCAATTTTAGCCTTTTTACTCTTATCTTTTGGGAAATATCATAAAAATGCACTCCAGCAACAATCAATTCAGGCTAATGTGTTTGTTTCCTGTCGTATCTTTCCTCTTCATTCAGTTTCTACTTTTATGAGGCAGGGCGCCATTATCATAGCAGTGGAGATGGCTGTTTTTCTTAAAACTAAGGATGAAGTCTGTATTGGTTCATCAAAAATATAATTTGCAGTACCTTCTCATTTGGCAAAGTATTTTAAAACTATATTTGTTATTGCAGAGTTTTAGTAGTTTTACCACTCTTAGCTTTCTTCCTCAATCAATGTATCATGTTAAAATAGCATATGTAACTGTTTATTTTAATCATTAAGTACTGTTAGTTGATGTATTGTTATTGTTCCTTATATAGAAAGCATTTTAGAAAAGGTTTTGCTTGCATAAAGATTCTGGTAACACATTGTGAGTGTACTAATTATGAAGGGCAGGTTTCTGCAACATACAATGTCAGATAAATTCCTGAGCTTAGCGTCGAGTCGAGTCCTGCTCAGCAGCCGATCTCAGGACCTATCAATACTTGTATGCTTATGACACGAGAAGCTGAATGATGTTGGCTTCTTAAAAGGTATGCATCTCATAAAAAGCAACTAGCAGGAAATCAGAAACAGGCAAGATGATGCTTGGTTGGAAACAATTTTTCATTCTGAGTACAATTATACTCTGTGGGCATGAAAGCTACTACATCCTGTCGCTGAATATCACAACCTCGCAGCCTCTAATGAACTGATTAGCATTCATGTATCTCTTGGAAGTCAGATCTATGAACAGTTGGTGCACTTTGCTATTGACAAAGCTGATGATCATAAATATTCTTTGCTGAGATTAGATTGCTTTTCCTCTTAGATATATTAGTTTCGAAGTAATTAAATCCCACATTGTGAAACTTTGTTTACTTTAATTAGGACTGACAACAAGTCAGATCTTGAATATTAAATGCATTTGTACAGATCTTATTAAAATGGCAAATTGTGAGCTTTTCAGATCTTAGAAAGTGGAAAAATTTGGAAACCAAAATGCACAGTGAATAAAAATGTATTCAACTAAAGTGTGGGTTATGAACGTTCAAAATTTAAGTTTTCACGCTTATTAGTTGAAGCACATCTCAAATATTTGGTTCATCAGCCAATTCTGAAAGAACATGTGTATTATCCAATATGTGAAGTATACGTTTTTAGAAGGAGATATTTGGTGTAAACGATCATAATTTCGTGAACTATTAAATTATCTGTTAATCAAATTGTCTTAAATTATGATACAATTTTGTTATACTATGAAATGTTACTAATAGCATTCAATTATAGTATATTGTATCTTTATTTTTCCAGTACCCCCTCTTTTCTTTTGCATTCACTTCTGAATATAAAAAATGTGAATTTAATACATCCTTTAAAACGCATGCACAATTATTTCATACATATCATGTTAACTTTTAGTAATTATTATGTTAGTTTCAAATTCCTAAGCCTGGTCAGAAATATAATTAGTGTTGGATAGTTCCACGATAAATATTTGCTTGAAAAATGTATAACACAAATTCAAGACAGGGTCACTAATACTGTTACATACAAACTATTATTATATGTGAGATGTTCATACATACTTATTAAATTCTAATCAGTGATAAAATTAAGAAAATGCCTGGATTTGTGTCATGCAGTGCTTGTTCCTTTGTTTAGACCTTTAAATTCTGGAATATCTCTCATTTTAAGGGGGAAAAACCCACAAATAAGTCCTAGAGCATTGTACTTGAGATTCTCCTTGTACAAGCCTTTATCTTTCTATTTTCTTCTCATCCCCCCCTCCGAAGTGTCTTAGAAAAAATCATTTGCTAGACATTTATATATTGTTGTATTTATCACAATTTATGTAACAAGTTGCTTGACTCTATATTATACTCTTTAAATTTCTTCATTATAATCTTGCTTTGGTTTTGCACTTTCTCTTTTGTTATTGCACTAAAGCAACATTTTAGTCACTTCTGAAATAATGACGTAGATGCTAAAAGTATCTCAATAAATTCCTTGAGAGAAAGACTTACATTTTATCTGTATTCCACACTGCATAAAGTACAGATTTCTCAGGTAAGGGAATTGAATACATTTGTATTTAATCGAACAGTGGTTAGGAAGTAAAACGGAAGAGTGGAGTGGGTGAAATGTAAACTTGTATAATAATACATGACCCATTTGCAGGCTCGGGAAGTAGGGTAATTGGGTGATTTCTAAGAGCAGATTTTATTATATTGAGTTAGTCTCGCTCCTCTCTTTCTGCCGTCTCTCTTGCCCATCTTGCATTAACCGATTCTTAGCAGTCTTTTAAGACTTGGGTTAGAATATCCTGCTCCTCATCCTCTATGAATCTTCAAATTTATAGTGATCTCTTTCTTCTCTGAAGTCTCATTATACTCACAAAGGTTGTTGCACAACTTAGTGTCGCTGCTGTTTTACAGTCATGCCTCAGTTGTTTCTGCCAATGTCACCTTCTTAGCCACGACTTGCCTGGCTCCCCAACGTCAATTAGCCTCTGTCCCTCTGTATAACATCACAGAATTTCGTTTTCTTCGTCATACTTATCACTGTTGGAATATCTCTCACTGCACTCTAGAATGTGTGTTTCATACAAGCAAGATCTTTGATGGCCTTGTTAACTGTCTTCCCTGATGCCTGGAAGAGGGGGCATGCAGTGGAGTTCAGTGAATACTTACAGGTTGGTCGCCTGGCTGGCTCCTGGGTACTTAAGAAGATCTATAAAAGGTATTAGATGGGTATGACTGATTGAAGCTGATCCCTGTCAGATGTGTGAATGGAAGCAGTAGACATGTGTGGTGAGGGAAGTGCAATGATGAGAGCAGGGCATAAGTTAAACGGAGAAGATGTTAGCGCTGTCTGCTTTGGGAAGGAGCAGAACTGGCTGACCAGGACCTAAATCCCAAGTCTTCGTCTTGCCGCGGAGTTGGCCCACAATGTTTGTGGTTCAGCGCTTGTGAACACAGATCTGGTTGTCAATATACCTTTCAAATGGGAGGATTACAGATAGAAATTCATGAGAATTTGGCCTTAGTCCTGGTAAAGGAATAGAAAATAGATTGTATAAAATATCAGGTAATTGGAAAAAATACCCATATTTTTGTAATGAATTTTATCAAATGTTTATTTTGTTGAGTAGCTCACCTATTTCTTTAAAACTCTTTACAAATATAAGACTTTATGCTGGGAAATAAAATAAAGCCTTACTACTAACTGAGATGAGCATTACTTTCATCTGCAGTTCAACAATTGGCACAAGAACACCTTTGTTTTTTCTTTTGGGTGGTGATAACAATTGTTTTGTCTAAATGTTTCCCATGCCTTGATGAGTAGCCCATCAGTAATGATATAGAGTGCCTCATTAATGTAACCATTTATTCTATCTTATCAGACGGTCATTTTAAACTTTGAGAATTTGGCTATTTCCAACATTGTTTTAGTTGAATCACAGTTTCACTGTTGTTGTGGGTAATTCCAGTTACTCCAAGTTTCACTTCATTTTGGGGGGAAGCAAATTGTTTCATAGATAATTGTAGGAAAATTAACTTATAAAGCTCTGTAAATGTTAGAACAAGACCATGTACTTCCCATGGTTTGGGCCCTTGCTTGGTCTCCTTTCCCATCACAGTTCTTAATAGAATTGTACTGTTTTTATTAAGTAAACCCAGACATATTTCTCGTATTTCATTAACTTTTGATTCCTACCTGAAAATCGAAAAAATGTTATTGGATAATACTTACAGCTTTATTTTATCCTATTTGCCAACTTGAGTCTTGAGAACGGGCATATTCCCAGGTATTAGAATAAAA